TATATATATATACACAGTATATATAAAGGGAGAAAGAGGAAAACTGATCAATTTATCCATCTGAGAGCCTCCACAGAGAGGCCTTGTTCACATGGGGCTAAACACTCAGCTTGGAAGTAATCAACATGTTATAATGGGTATTACACAACTGTATTATAAATAAATACTACATAAAAAATATTTAGAGCTTTGTAATATAGACCCCACAAATACAACAATTTTCTGCATAGGCCATGTTGTTTTGTTGCRTGATAGTATTTTTAAGACTTCAGTATGCTGACATTCAAGCTTTTCTTTATGCTACCACTAACATCTACATTGTCCTTTCTTTTAGTTATTAGTGCAGTTCTGGAGGAAATAGCCAAGGAAGTGTGACAGCCTTGAAAGCCAAAAAGAAGTGTGCCCATAGCTTTACTTTACGGCTGAATAATAGTTTGTGACTAGCATTCAGCATGTTTTTTTTTCTTGGCTATTATCACAAAATTTCAGCTAAATATTTCTCAAAACAGCTAAATTGATGACATTTGGATTTAGCTGTGGCAGCCATCTTYAATTTTCAAACCTAGAATGTTTTTCTTTATGTGTAGGTGCCCCYTCCTAACAAAATACCTTGACCACCCTTGGGCCACAAAAAGCCTAGCTCCGCCCCTGCATGTGAGATTCAACATACAAACCAAAAAATGAACTGCGTGAAATACTTAATTGGTAATACATAATTGCATTATGGCAAAATATAATGAATAAACCCCTTATCTGTGGATACTTGGACTGAACTGTCTGAAACATGACCAACATGGATTCAGTCGGAAAGAAAACAGGCTTTGCTTGCATGGAAAATATTTTTTTAAATTAAGACTTTTCCACTCAAAAGCATTTTTTTTTTGTTAATCATCTCAAAAAAAGTGCTTCAAACAATAATTCAATATCCAAACAATGTTTGAAGTTTACTTTTTAGAATGACATCAAACAATTTTTCATTAGAAATGTCAACAAGTTATCCTGCAGAAGTCAGATCAAGTCATGTCTTTAAAACCTCCAGGTATCAAAATGTAGAAATTGGAAACTGCTTGTGTCCAAAATGACACAAGTAACAAGAAACAAGTGGCAAAAATATTAGTAAGTTTACAGTTTACATTAGATTAGTTCTGCACAATTGAGACACCAAGGCCCTGGAAAAGAGCGTCACTAATTTTACACTGCAGGTGGAAAAAAACAACTTTGAACTGTGTGATGATCATTAAACTACCCTCCCACATG